TCGATAGTTTGAAGTTAACTTCCATTTTAATAGTTAAATAAGATAAAAATAATAATGTTTACTAATAGATTAACCTTTTATTCTGAGGTTAACCGGTTCTGTATCTAGACCTTTCCAATGTAATTATATTTAGAGTACTGCGGTATACCTAACTGAGAAAAATAAATAATAGACTAAATATATTCGAAGTTAGAAAAACGTCAACATACTGACGTCACTGCCAATTATAGTTAAATATCTATTTCCTTTTTTTAATATTTTGCCGTTTTTGTTTTCGATGAGTTACAAAACAGTTGCTGCAATTACAGTTATCAAAGCGGGTTGGCGTTATTACTGTATATAGCAGTGTCTCACTCCAATGAAGGCGTTCGTGTTCGCATTGAAAACTTACGTAACGCCCCCTGGTGTCATAAATAGTTGTTAAATTAATATATAACTCTTCACTTTCATAAAAGTCTTCCATAAAAATAAGCTTTCCGATTCGTTGCTTCGTGTATCACTTGAAATAATATATATTTTTGACTTTTACTTTATTATAGGTGCAATAAAATTCATAAAAATTATATTTTAAATATATCGATTTTACATAAAAAAAACACGACATTATTAATTTACCACTAAAGATTTTGAAATATAAAAGGTGCCGGTTTCGGTTCCCAGATACTAAACGGTATGTAAATCTTTATAGTTTAGCGTCTAGATGTTTATGTTTACAAATCCGAATCTCCATTCTGTAAACGAACTGAACATTTAATATTATAGGCCAAACTAGATAATAAGAAGCTTCATATAGATTGCTCTCATTATTGTAGTGATGCTTTTCAGCTAACTCTATCACCCGGCAATAAGGTCGAAAATCCCTTTTACTATAAATACGCAAAAAGTACCACACTACTGCAATTAAAAAAAAAGAAACAAGTACACGTCAATAACAGTACAGATAAAAAAAAGACTAGTGTCGATTAGATTCATGAATATAACACGATTTTGGCTTTAAATATTGGATTTTCTTTTTAGTTGTTAAGTAACTGATAATAAAATTTGGACTGAGATAGAATCATTCCAAGACCTAGGTCAAACACGGCCTATGTGTTTTTTTTTTATAAATCAAATCACTAACAGAACATGTCGTGGGACGGTTCGGACCCCAAGTTTTTACAATTTTGTACCGGGTAATAATAACTAGAGGTAGAGTATTAACTGTTTGATTTTAATTTTTTCACTTATTACAAAAGAACTGACCTTATCCGATCTTGTAAGACTTGAAATTTACTGCCGTTGTGTTTTGTGTGTACTTGTACTGTATAGTTGAGAGATTATACCTACCTAACAATAAAAGACGGACGTACTTTGAAGGCACTAAATACGTTATTATGTAAAAAAAAACAAAAAATGTCGTATTAAAAAGTAATATACGGTTAAAAATAGAATAATTGCAAAATCATTTGTATTGCAAACATCTCAAATCGAGATATACTTGGATAATAGCTGACTATATTACTAGAACTTTCTTTTTGATTTAATATTTTTTACAGTTCTTGTACGTTCTAAGTAAAAATAATAAAAGGTTTCTTATACTGTCGTATTTATTGTTTTCATAGTGCTTTACGTCACATTGGTTAGTGGCCAGACTAATAGAGACCGTCAGTGCTCATAATATTATTGATTTCTAATCAAACAAAATATCATCGTGGACCGTCTGTGCATATTAGCATTAATGTTTTTCGTATTCATTGTTATTATGAAATATAAAGACACACGTACGATGAGGATATCAACTGTTCAACATAATAAATGCGTTTCAAATCATGCACGAGTCCAATATAGATACAAGATTTTCGTTTTTATATGAACGCGACCGCTGTGACGTCATATCCCGCCAAACATTAAAACTGGAAAGTCGAATCAGGTTCGTGAACGCCACTTTCTCGTCAGAAATATCAAACTGTCTTAAGTTATTCGTAACATGTGTTGCGCATGGTTTATTAATATTGTGTTTCTATGACGTCGACTAGCGGTTTACATAAACATTTTCAATCCCTATTGTATTGTATTAAATCAACAAATCTACTGAAATAGGAGAAGTGGTTAACACTTAGTGATATTTAATATATAACTATTATTGATGTAAGAACTAAAAAATAAAACAAAACGTTAGAATTAAAAAAATAATGTTTTTAATATTAAAAAAAAAGAAATAACCAAATTTTAGTTGGCACATAAATAATATGATGATGTATTGTAACTAATAAAAATATATTATTGGTCTCAAGTATGTCAAAGATTGTAATCATTCGCTTGGACTTTAGGAATGACATGCGTATTGTTTACTGTTTTGTATGATTAAATGACATGAAGTATTTAAAGAGCTCATTGACATTTTATTACTTTGTAAGATGTTCAATAATAATGTGTATTATAATTTTTTTCTCTCTTTTGATATGTGTAACGATGGATGATTTCAAATAAGTCAATGAATACTTACGTATTTTTTTATCTCCAGTATTTGATTCGTGTAAAATTATATAATGATTTTCTATATTTTTTGTCGTTATAAATGTATGATTTTGGTGCAGTCTTGTAAATTGTAATAGCTTATTTAATTATAATTATTATTTGTAATTTATTTTCCCCAGAAACATTAGTAATATTTCGCTAGAATAGGTTACCACGCGTTGTTTTTACAATTTTGTCCTACGATTTTTGTAGTCACTCGATTATGTATTGTACATAGATTTTTTAGTATCGAATTATATTTTTTTTTTGTGATCGTACAACTCTGATTTTTATTTATATGCATTGCCTAAAACACTACCATTTAATAATAACCTACTCATTGACCACTACATAATAAATAATGGCGCACGTACATGCTTTCGGTGGGTTCGGTCGTTGCTTCTATCATATATGTCGGAGAATATCTCGATCATCTTTACGAAGATCGTTTGATTTAGTGTCTTTTTTAAATTGCTAGTTAATCAATTACTTAATTACTCAATTGTAGAGAGGGCGTGATCATCGATACTTTTAATTTTATTAGAATCATAACACTGACGTTCACAGTTCGTTAAAGACAAGCAAATTGCCGCCATTTTGACATACATTCTGTTTCCGATCGCCGAGGAGTAAAGTCATCCGACGACATCACGCTCATCTCGTTATATTTTCGTATGAAAAGTGATAAAAAGGAATAAATCCACATTGGCATACACGCCTGCAGTGTTATTTTAAAGATCGTCCCCCGATATGGATCATCTATTTGGGCATCGTAAAAGCAGCTCCTTCTGACTACCCTCCGACATACATGATTTTCATAAGTTATTATAAATTTCGAGTTTCTTGTCTTGTAAGCAATGAGTAAGTATTTGAAAAAGTTCTCGAAATAAAACTAGATAATCGTTACATACTTAAAACGGTTGCATCAAACCTAACGTCAAACAAATAAATCTGTGGAATGTGTTGCGATTTACTTTTTGACCTATTTATTTATTGATAAAGATACACTAGCGACAACAACATAACTCAATTCCTTTAAAGATAATGGACTAGAGTTATAAATGACGTGCCTTCATAGGCGTACACAGCATTCTCAAATAAATAACAAGACAACAAATTAACAACAGAAATAGAAATTGGTTAAATCTAAAATAATTATTAATGACAAATACAAACCAATACCGTTTTAATTATTTTTACTGAAGTTAAGAATTATTCTAAAAAATTTCATAAAAATGAAGTCCCATCACAAAGTACCAGGGACAAAGTAGCTAATTTTTTGCAATTTTTGTTAAGGAAAATAAATAAATCACTACATAGTATAAAACAAAGTCTCTCTATCTGTCCCTATACACCTATGTATGCTTAAATCTTTAAAACTACGCAACTGATTTTGATGTGGTTTTTTTCATAGATAGGGTGATTCAAAAGGAAGGTTTTTACTGTTAACAACTTATTATCATTTATTGTTAACATTGTTGTAACCATACACCGGTTCAATGGAGCGAACTTACGTAATCTACTTTACTAAACGAGTAGCTCGGTGGCATAGTGGATAAGAGCTGCGGCACGCGATCGTTGTTGTTAAGCATCTTTTGCAAGGGTCGATCACGGGATGGGTGACCAAAATTAAATATTATCTAGAGCTACTACGCGCTTCGGAAGGCACGTTAAACCGTTGGTCCCGGCTGCATTTGCTGTCGCTAATACCCTCCAATCCGCAATCGCCCAACGTCGAGGGTCATGGCCCGTCCTCTTTAGCCATCCATAAGGAAGGCCTGAGCCCCTGCACTGGGGACGCAATAGGGCTGATGGTGAAACTATATTTGTTTTTGGTGTAAAATGTTGAGAATTAATAATAACGTCGTCATATGATATCGAAAAATGTATTTTGATCAATTACTTTAGTATTGAAATTATGTTACCATAAATGTAAAGGAAAGTAAATTCTGTCTATAATTGATTGATACCTATATCGTACATATTGTAACGTAGTTATATTTTTTCTTATTAGTTAATTAGTCATAGGATTTAAAACGTACATCGGGTGACTTCCTAACGCCAGCCAAAGTATGCATCTTAGCGATAGTATGGCGATAATTTCATTTAATAATTTCTTTTGGTGGATAAAGGACTAGGTTAGTTGCACAAACGTCCATTTAATAACTCCTTTAAACTCTAATGAATGTCAAATTTATATGGGTAATGTCGCTTGAAATTAATGACATATTAATGAATGTTTGTGCAACTGGATAAATGTTCGTAACGCTCCTGTCAAATTTTTAATCATAATTCTTTATCAATCGTTGTCAAAGTAGTAAGATGAAACGAAATATCGCCATAACATCGCTAAGATGTCGTTTGCCTTGATAATAATACAGTCGCACCACCCATAATATTCCTCTATGGTCGCACCCCTGTACTTGCACAAGCAAATCACAGACCAAAAAGGAGATACTAAAGCAAAGTAAATAGGAATGTTGATTTAATTGAAAGACAAAATTAAAAAATGCATTTTATTAAAAAAGAGGAAAATTAAATTTAGGCTGAAAACACATTGCGCATATAAACAAGTTTTATTAGGACTTTAATTATTTATACATCCAAAGAAAAACAGACTTGTCATGTAATTATTATATTGAATAGCGTCTTTATATTAAAATATGCACTAAAAATGTTTTGTGGGGCCAAAAAGTATTACTTATTACTAAATTAAATATCACGGGGTTTTCTAGAAAAAAAAAAAATTACTTCCCACTCGTTTACTTAAAATATTGCCTTTGAATTGGTAACTTTACAAAAAATAAACAACACCTTTGGCATAGGTGAAGGAACTAAGACATACTGCCAAATCTTAAGTATAAAAAAAAAATGTGTTTTCTATTTCAAATATCAAAATCCGAAGAAGGCACAAAACATTAATAGTCAAGGGTAACATCAGTCATTCAGCCTAAACAAAAACCATACCACATATCAAACTTACAGTTATAAAATCTATTTGGATTGAAGTTTCAGGTGGTCACGGTAAATTATGGCCAAATATAAGATTACATCTAAATTAGTCCATGATCTACAGTACACAATTATTTCATTTAGAATTCAAGCTCCAAGCGCTAGTGATTACATTACAACGTATTGCACATTAATAATAAACATTTATCAGATCACAATTTGTGCAAAAAAGCACTTTAAGTCACTAAAATAAATATTATACATCAATAATTACTATACAGTGCTTTGGATAATCCCATGATGGTAGGGGATTTTTCGAATGGCTTTAGATTAAAAAAAATTTAGAGTTAACCAAAGCACCTATTTTCACAATAAAATTTATTTATCATAAATCAACAAAAAGAAAACAAATTAGTATTAAATTAACTGGTAACTTCAGATAATGTATCATTCGAAATGAGGTAGAGATTTTTTTAAAGGAAAAAATATCTCGCTTTTAGTCACAGGTATTCAAACAGTTTTAAAATAGTTACCGTTTGTTTTATTTTGCTGTTCACAGACAAAACAAAATGGCGCCGATGGTATTGTTTTCTAGCGATACCTATAAATATCTAACACTAATATATGCCGATGTCCAGTGATTGAAAGTGGATGTTTTAAAATGTAACTTTTAATACAGTAACATATTTAGGGCCTCATCTACTCCGTTATATTCTTAAAACTATGGTTTTTTAATATAACATTTAATAATTATTATAAATATCATTTGTAAAAAAGCCTATACGACAATAGCGTACATGTGTTGTACTTATAAAGATGTAGTATATGTATATTATTATGTTTTACAAATTATAAATTAAGTAATTTTTTAAGTATATATGGTAAACGTGATGCTGTTTTGTGCATTATCCAAGCGTTTTATGATTATTATTTGAAAAAATCACAACATTCTTATATTCTTATCGGTGTACGGCGATGAAATGTACGTCCTGAAAAAGAAACAGAAATATTGTCATTAAAATATTCTGTGTCGTGCTTAAAAAGTGACATCAAAATAACTTTTCTATTTGGGCAAAACAAACTTTCAATAAGCATTTACGGCAAAAAAAAAATATTGTTGATAAATCTACTTTTATGATTGCAATAATATCTTTTTTTTATTCTCATATTTACGGTATTTAATGCGAATCATATCGACCTTGAGTTTCTAAAGTCTCGGGTTTGATACCTTCTCTATATTTTTCTGGCTCTCTGTTGTTATTTTACCACGGTTTCCCTTACAAACTGCTTTATCTCAGATAATCAGTTTTTCTAGATCGTGGGGTACTATCCATGATAAGGATTAGAAACCACTAGTCTAGAGAATAATAAACCATTGCATATAAATGTGCACAGCAGCACAGCACATTGAGTTAATACAAAATCATTTGTAATTTGTAATCTGATGTGCTGTGACTGGCATAAAATTCACAAAAAAAAACAGGTGCTAGGATTTAACACAGCAACTATATTGTTACGTAAATATTAGTATAAAAGAATCGCTTTTCTTCTTTTGAATCTGTTACAAACAAGCTAATATTAGATAAAATAATAGTTGACAAGCATATTTTCTTTAAATTTTATTAAATGGTACTAAATTATCAAGTAAAATTCATTAAAAATATGGGTGAGTAAGTTCTGAAAACACTGCATTCAAAATTTCGAATCATAATAATATAACCCTCTAACGTATTTATCGGCAACATAATCAGTGCATCTCATCAACACACAACATAAAAAAATAAAGCACACGCACACACAAAGCCAAACCAAGAGATATATGGCGACTACAAACTTTAATATTTTCAAAGAACCTGAATGGGAGTTGCTTGTTTAGATATTTTTGTTTTATTTTATTTTATTTTATTTTTTTATATATATTTTCTTGCAGTCTTCTTGCTTAGCTTGATTATTCATTTAGCACTGGGAGCATGGATCTAGAAGAATAATAAATAAATATCAATAAAATGTCAAAGACAATAGTTAAATTGATAATAGTACAGTGTCACTGTAAAGTTCTAAATATTACTACCATATGTACTACATAAAATAATTATATGCGTTATAGAAAAATACTCAATAATCGTGGCTAAAACCACTAGCTGGTGCCCGAGGAGCAGCCAAGGCCACAAATAGCCCTCCGCGCCCCTGATTTATTTTATAACGTCAATGAATGAATGAATTTAAAATGCATTGTCCTGACCATGAAAATTGTATCCGCCCTCGAGTGGGATTCATAGGTAGGAGGAAATTTCATAGATTTTAAGTATTTTTCTTTAGGATAAATATCAATATAATAGCACTGTGAATGCAAAATTTATAAAACATAATAATAATATGTAAATAACTATAACAAAACAAACTTTGCGTAATGAATTCAATATAAAAGCATTTTACCCTTTTTTCGCTAAATATAAATATTTTAGAAAATTATAGCTTATTGTTTCAATAATTGGAAAATTTTAATTCATATGTCCTTGCTTCTGAAACAATAAGTTACTTTAATAAATGGACTAAGCCGATCCCCCTGAACTCAATACACAAACATTTAAAATATTTTCTACAATGTGATCGTAGCAATAGGAATATAATAAAATTTTACATATATCTATATACATGTTAATAAAGATAAAATATATATTATTTAATTGCATATGTTTAAAGAATATATAAGAATATTTAGATCATGTACCTTCCATTTCCAAAGCTATGGGAATGGGACCTTGGCAGCGTTAACAGAAGATAAATATAAGCGAGACAAAGTAAAACAAGATACCATAATAAAAGTTTATGAGATTTTTATTTATTATATGTTATCATTTGTATGTTTTCAGGATTATTTGAGTCCACATTATACTGTGTCTTAACCTTTTAATATTTTCTGGGTTGTAAAATATTAGACTCATATGTTTTCTGGGTTCCACAGCTGAATACTAATTGCATGGATAAGAAGTGAAAATCAATGGCGGCGTGATCAATTCGAAAATTATAATTTTCATAAAATAGATAGGTTTTACTATTTCTTTGTCATAAAAATAGCATTACTATTAATAAACATTATTAAAAAAATGTTTTAAGCATTCAGATATTTTACGAAAATTATGAAAAATCTGGGTGCCCCCGCCAAGTCGTGCAAAAGAACAAAAAACGGCACGAATTTCCCTTTCTTACAATTTTGTAAAATAGTTGTCAGGAGATAAATACTTTATTTTTGATATGAATTATGATTAGACTACAATTAATCTCATAAGCTTTTAAAAGTTAACTCTGCCTTTTTCTTATCGAATATTGGAAATTTATCAAATTTATCAATTTATCGAATATTCAAGAGTAATTGAAATAATTAGAAAATTCATTTGTTTCGTACTAAAACATTAAATCATATCTTGTGATTTGTTTTGCGTCTCTAATCATTTTGTAAAAATATAAAGAAAGTATTGCTAGTTAAAATAATTCAAAAATAGAAAAAGGCAGCTCATTCCCATAATTTAGTTTAGCTGGTTTAAAATGAAATGGCGTCTGCATAATTTGGATACAAAAACTACTTATAAAATATGGCGCCGTGATACAATGAGTGCAAATGAAAGCGTTGGCGCCAAAATTTAAAGGTTTGCGTAAGGTATGAAATAAAATTTTAACTACATATTTATATATTTTAGAATGGCTAAAGAGATTTTTTAAAGGACGAAAACTTTCTAAAGTCTGTTTTATATCTTTAACTGACGATATATGGCACTAGTGTTTTATTCGATGGCTTTTTTGTTGTTGATTGTCTGTATTCTTTATAATATTAATGGGTATATAGAAAGCATTGAAAGTAGGTACACTTTTATATGTCTAAACGTCATTAAAAATAATACATTATTAAAATTATAGTTGTTTATATATGATTTATAGAAAAAAAATATAATTCAGAACACTAGTGTCATCTCTTGACAGTAACTTAGTGAACACGAGTCGTTATAAACTTACGGATTCATTAAATATAGAATGACAAACATATTATATCTATGTCGCAATCAACTGATTAAAGCAGCCGTTAACTTGGACGGCCAACTTTCAATTTGAACCGGCGTTATGTAAGGCTGTGGTGACTAAACCGCTCGTGTAAACGTGACTTAGTCCCACGACACTATTTTATAAGTTTTATTTTTATGTCTGGCAACACTGCCACCGAAAATTTTCTCTTACGATTCCGCGCTCGCGGCGACAAGTTAGTTAGTCTCGTTAACATTCCTGTATTTGCGCTAACTTTTGTCGATTAGAACCATTGTCCAGTTTAATATTTGTGTTTTTATGGAGTACTACATTACACCGTGTCTCAAATCGACCGGGGCACAAGCATGCCGGCGTTTCCTGCACATGCTCAACGTACTGGGTAAGAAATGGGACGCTCATGTCCTTACGACCCTGATGTTTCGCTTTGTTTACAAAATGGCATCAAAGTCGATATACGTCTGTATTTTTGACCATTGAGTCATTCAACGTCGATAAATTATAGATTTACATAAAAATGATTCAAAGAAATTAAAAATTGAAACATGTTAAATTTAATTATAAATATGTTTGAAAAACAATTTCACGGTTATGAAACTATCGAGGTATTTTTGTCCTAATATCATGGATATTTTGCTATTGAATGTGAATAGTATGTTAGAAAGAATATTGTTCGCTTTCTACACTCGTTCTATAGAACGTCGTGTTAGGCTACTAATGGCGTCGTTGAAATAAAGAGCCATCTAGCCATCTAATCGGACTACTGTTTTAACCAGTTGGCTGCGACGTGTACATTGTGGCGAGGCAGTGGTTATATCGTCCAGTAGGTATTTATGTGTGTGCGTATACCCAGAATGAGATCGTAACCAGTAAAACAGCCGTCCAATTACACCACTGGTCGATTGTTTGTATAATTCTGTAATACTACACGCCTAGTATTGTATTTGAACCAGATTGAACGATAACCCGTTAAATCGTCTAATTATTATTAGGTGTCTACGCCGCCTTTTCGCTTTCATTCCAAGGCAGCAAAGACTTTTTACGTTGGTTTGTCGTTAAAAAAGAATAAAAATATGTTTTCAGTGTTATTTAAGTCATAAATAGGAAATAACCTGTTAAGGAATATTTTAAATGTCTACACTAATATCAGAAATACTGGATCGATTTAAAAAAATGTTTCATGTATATGAAGCTACATTATCAGTGAGTAACGCAGGCTGTGTGTGCGTGCGTGCGTGTGTGTATACTGACAGCTCCATATTGTGCACGGTGGAGGCGTGGCAGACGGCGGGCACGCGCACGTGGCAGTGCTTGTGGCAGCGCAGGCAGCAGTCGCGGCACTCGTAGCCCTGCTTGCCGAGCCGACGCGCTATCGTCTTGTTGCACACCTCGCACACGGTACCACTGGATATATTAACACAACCACATCAATAAATGTCGCTAGATGGCGGTACACTGTTCAAGCGGGAAATTAAATTTTTACAATTTGTAGTTCAAAATCATTAAACATAGTTTAGGTATCATATCAAACAAGAGAAGCCAAGTAGTACGAGTATGATGACTACTAACGTTAAAAAGAAAATCAGAATGATCTTCATAGACAAATTGATTGGACATTAGGCTTGACGCACATGTTTCAAAGCACCCAGCGACATCTATAAAACATTAAACGACAGTACAGATATATTTACTCTTTGGCTCGACTTAGTAGGCCTCTTCCGCCTCCAGATATCGGCTTAGGGTTGCCAGATAGCGAGACTAAAATATCTGGACAAAATTTGAAAAAGTCGAGATTTTGGGATCACACTCGGGACAAAAAGTTACTAATATGAAATCCACTTTTTATTAAATTAATTTTAAAATAATAACAAGTATCTACTTTTTTGTCATTTTATAAGATTACATAATAATAGTATAACACTTAAACTGCTAATATACCTACTTATTATATTTTAATGATATGTGCTTTGTTTATTTTTTTATACTTGGAATTAGTGTTTACAGAATCTAACAATTTTGTCGGGACATATTTGTTTTTTTGGGGCTCTGGACATCATGCGAAATGTCTAGACAATCCAGACCAATCCCGACCATCTGGTAACCCTATATCGGCTTCAGATTATAAGGTACTTAACGTATACACACTAATAGATTGATAGTTGGTATTAATATTGAACTAATAAAATAATCTATAAGAAACGATTTAATAATTTTGCACCGAAGTAACCGAAAAACAAATTATCGTATTACATGTGAATGTGATTATGTGAAATCACATCACAATAAAATCTACATAATATAAAATCAGTTTCTTTAGTTTAGAGATCGTGTGGTACTACAGAATTGGCAGCATTTTCAATTAAAAAACATAAGTTAATCGAGTACTTACCCACTAAGGTGTTTAGCGATGAACGTGTGCTCGTTGTAAATGTGCAATTTGACCCCCTTCCGCCGCCATCTTGATCTCTGCGCGACGGTCAGTGGCACCAAGTAGTGTTTCTTTATTCCCGCCTCTATCGTCTCCAATACCAGCGTGGACGCTTCGTGGATGAACGTCCTCGCTGAGGCGGTCGAGAAACCGGACATTTCACTGAGAGAGGACCTTTTTATATTTAAATTTCGTTTAGAGGATAAGGGGATGGAGTGGTAAATAAAAGAGGACAGGGTGGTCGATCACGGGAATAGGATTGGTTGAGTGATAAATTCAAAGTGATAAAATGAAATTATAATTTATCGGTATTTCAGTAAAAAAATGGTGGGCGTAAGGTTTATAGTTAGGTATATGAAATTATTGGAAAAAGTTGTGAATGACATTATGAACAAAAATAAAATAATAATAAAAAAGTAAATAGCAATATTTATAAAATAATTGCATTAAAGAAACTCAAATAAGACAGTGTAAAGAAAAGAAAATATGATTATAGAAAACAAATATGATAATTAACCAGCAATAGTGCAATTAAAGTGAAAAAAAAAAAATGTATCCATCGAGCATTATGTAAGTATAAAAAACCATTAGTAAGAAAACCAGTGTTACCAGTTTGCAGTGCGTTACCCCCAGCAGATGTGAGTGTTGTCAGATGAAAAAAGAAAAGAAATGCACAATTATTCATTGCATAATTGTTTTATATTATAATTAAATAAATATTAAACATCCTTTCTAGATTTTTTGTTATATAATATATAGAATAGTCAAATAATTTGCCATACAAGTGAAATTATTAATAATACTAAATATTTTTTATTAAAAAAACATCTGGCAAGACAGCATTATTTTTTTGTTAAAAGCTCAGTTAGTAAACTATGATATATAGAAAAATATTACATATCTATATTATATGTGCATAGTTATTTTGTCTAAGTTAGAATTAATAATGCAGCCTTGCCATGCCACCACAAATGCATATATTTATGACTTTAAATAACATATATATTTTTTAATATCTGTCGGTCTGCTTTCATCATGTTATAATGGTGGCTATATTATTAAGTTGTGTTCAAAATGTAAACTTTTTAATGTAAGTGAACATCTCATAGAATATCAAAGCTCATACATGGCATTCATGCTTCTACTTCTTACAACTATTTCCGAGCTTATTATGAACTTCAATATTACATATTGGCTACGTTGCTAACGGTAGTGATGCTCCTAATGAAGGTTTGGACTTTACACTTTCTTTTGTCATCGGAGGTGACGCATTGGGATAGAACAGGAAGTAGACTTTTGTCCCTCGGTTAGAAAGAGAGAGAGAGAGAAGTGATCGGTACCCCATCTGCATCTTTCTACTGATTCGTAATAAAAGATACTAATCAAACTGTCGGATCATTCTGTTGTTCTCAGTTTCCTCGCTAATTACGCATACGCGATTAGAGAGAGACAGTAGGGTACTGCGATGTTTCTTCTCATTCTAACTCCTAGAGACGGCTTTCAAGTTTTATCTAAAATATTTCTATGTATGTCCTTGTGAATAAGAAAATGATTGTTTAACCAAAGATAGAAAGTATTAGTGACAAATTGAAGACGCACCTTCTGGATGTCCTGGATTCATCGCCTGACTGCGCGGGGGACGCGCCCGCGGAATATACATTTCTATTGGGCACGGATAGGGCTTTATCTGTGGATATAAAACATTTTATTTTTGGTAAGTATGATAGATTTAAATAAAATAATAAAATTATTATTACATTGAAGAATATCACATACCTATGTCGCAGCTACAAAATTAGCCATGCAGTTGCAGTTGAATAGCGCGATTCCAATAAAGGGTCAGCCGACTAATTGTATGACTGTTTTAATCAGTCGGCTGCGACATAGCTATGAATTGTTAAAGTTCAAATTCAGTATCTAAACTTTATTCTAAAAGGGTATCTTAAATAGGTAAATATGAAACAATGAAAGTAGTACGACCACCTAAACTCGAGAGATATTGAAACTATATTAGTTAACATGCGATTGTGACTTCGGAATAACGTTTAGACTTTAGCGTAGCTGCGTCCCTGTTAGATAGTTTCGCAGACGACTGCGAAAAATGCCGCAAATATTTCACATACGCAATAGTTCCGCAGATGTTTCGCTTTCGCAAGCGAACGCGTCAGTGTAGTGAGCCGTTAGTAAACGGCGTAATAATAACAGTACTGAAAACGAGCACAGATAAAATCACATCTATTGTATTCCCGTATAACCAACTAGATTCTTTAAATATTTATTTTATTCTGGTTTTCAGTATTTGTTGCTGAAGCGGCAACAGAAATACATCATCTGTCATAAAATCAACCGTCTAACTTTCACGGTTCACGAGATACTGCCTGTCGGATTGGAGCTATTGAGACAATAGCTTTAATCCTATATATTTAATTAATGAACTGATTGTGGTAATTTTCCTGAGCTTAATAAGGTGTCGCTGTAAAAGAAATTTATAATGCCTAGGAGGATTCACATAATGCGTTAGGTGTTTTTGTGACCTATCTTAAGCTTGTGTTGATTGTGTTTTTCTTAGGAAACTTCATTATTATGGATTTAGAGATTTTACTGTCTCATACTTGACTGACAGAGTACAGAGGGTTGATATCAATGGCAAAAGTTAAGATGGGTGTTCCACAGGGCTCATTACTTGGTCCTTTCTTGTTTTTAATTTACATAAATGACTTTTTTAAATAAATAAAATCCATTTATTTGGAACAAAAACATAAGTAACACAATCACATAAGCTACTTAATATCTGTCCCAAAACGGTCCATGCTCAGCATATACTTACCTTATTTCTTAAGGGATAATCACGAAATAGTTTTGTTTGCGGATGACACTTTACTTTTGTTTAAAATTAAAAGAAGGCTACCTCTAAATGACGATGTGAACAATTCTATCTCTAAAGTAGTACATTGGTTTAATGCAAATATGTTAAAAAAGTAGATATAAATGTGAATATAAAAGATAAAAACGTGGGTCTTGTCGATACCACAGTATTTTTAGGAATAACATTAGATTCTAAACTACTGTGGGGCCTACATATTAATAAATTTTCAAATAGACTTAGCTCTGCAGCATATGCCGTAATGAAGATATGTAGGTTAACTGACATAGATACTACCAGATTAGTATACTTCAGTTACTTGCATAGTGTAATGTCCTACGGAATCCTATTGTAAGGAAATGCTACCGACATAGAAACGATTTTTGTGCTTCAGAAAAGAGCAGTTAGATAAATTTATAATCTTAGGATTTAAGGAAATACACATAGTGTATGTTGCTTCTCAATTCATATATTAGAACTTAATGTACGTTCGTAAAAATATTAGTTTGTCTTCTATAAAAAGTGATGTAAACAATTTTAATACAAGAAATAAAAATAAATTAACGGTGCCTGTCACTAGAATGCAAAAAGTTAATAACTAATTCAAGGGTCTTTGTGTGTGCTTCTACAATAAGGTCCCAAGCAAAATACAACAATTAGATATCATGCAGTTTAAATCTACGATTAAAAAAAACTTATTAAAAAAGCTTACTATAAGGTCACATTATATAACAGATAAGAATGTTTGGACTTGAGATGATCCAGCAACTGGATAGGTGATTACTTCTTAACTCATTATTATCAAAAATTATCTTGATTCCATTATTATTAAATTATTATATTATCATTATTATGACCATAGTATTTTTTTTTTCTCTCTATTTATAATGTACCAATCTGGTAATGACATGGTTTTTGTGAATGACATTACTCCTATTAGAGCTGGGAGTTTCGTGCTCGTTTTCCTTATCAGCCAAAAGACGTCCTGAATGAATGGTAGGGAAAAAAGTTGGACTATTCAAAAGTACTTTTAAGAAGTCTATCCGAATAAAGATCGTTGCGGCTTCAATTCATCTAAAATAGTTTTATTTTTATTACAAGATAGTAAACCTTTTTTGTTTCAATTCCATTTTTTATTCGTTTTCTTTTTAATGTCTTTGTAAAATATTCTCTATGATTTTCTTGTCAATAATAAATTTTTACTAATCATCTAAATACAACTTGGATTATTATTTTCCCCATTTATGTAGCGAAAACAAAGATTATTTGGACTTTGACTTTCTTAGTAATAGGGGGATTGCAATAAACGTTGATAAACTAGACTGACCGTGCGTGTTCCTCTCCGCGCTGATGCTGCGCACGTGCGCGCCCGCGCCCGCGTCCGCGTCGGGCAGGTCCAGCGACGCGCCGCGCGTGCGCGACCGGCCCAGTCTGCGGGCACACGACTGTATATATCAGGGCGGGGCAGGTGACAGCGAAACATTAAACTAGCAAATCTTACCTATCGAGTGAGTGAACATATCAACCTGTTTGAAACAATACTTTAAGTACCCCAAAAAATACCATTCTGAGATGTGTGTGCCCATATGGTAGGACCGCGGTGATAAAAAATTAAAGAAAGGTTAGAACTGTGCCCGAACCGAGAATTGAGCCGAGCAAACAATGCTCTGGATAAAGTAGGGGAAGGTGGGCTCTGTGTTGCACGGAGCACACTGTTACAAAGCTCATATGTCATCCCTGTCGATAATTTTTTAAAATTTTGTATGCAGTTTTGACAAGCTCTTAAGATCAGTTTTTATTACCTCAGTTTATCCCGCATATTGATATTATTTAAATAACAAAACAATTTAGGTGACCAAAGGTAGAAAAAAATACATTAAAGTTTTTTTTTTTTTTTTACTGATAAGCTTGTTTCTAATTATAGTTATGTTTACATTCAACTCAGTTAAAAGTTGATTAAGTCAATATTTTCGTCCCCACATCGTCGTTTGTTTTTATTGTAACACTGTGCCCACCTCACCCTACTTAATATAATATATATAAAATATAATGCTAGTTGTTATAGATGACAATTTGGCTTCAAAACGATCGGTGAATTCTATCAATTTTGAGATAATTTTGATGCAAACAAACAATCGAGTCTTTCATTTATAATATTAGTTTATTTGATGAATGTCACCTTCTTTTGATGGTGCCAAAGAAGTCTCTTCTCCTCTTCTGCCGGGGCGCGGGCTCCGGGGCAGTGTCTCGTTGGTTGTTCACGTAATCGCCTTGCTGTTGAATTATAAACGCTATTTGAATAGTAATAAAGGCCATATTAATCAAACAAATAATATGAGTATTTAGATTTTTATCAAAATTTAAATATCATATAGTATAATTAATAATACTTGTGATATCACTGAAGGAATTATTATTATTATTTTATAAATAAAAGTAGACGGTGAAATTGTTTTTATATTAAATAAAACAAAATTCATCCCTCATAAACAATAGTGTTAATAATAATGTGCATAAATAATATACAGGGTGTGTGTTTTTTATAATAAAATTTGTTTATATTATCTACGTTCATAATTAATAAATCAATTTCAATAGAAAAAGAGTGATTCAACCTTTAAAACAGTACTTATATTTGTAACGCAATGGTGTTCAAAGTGCAAATTAAAACGGTACATGCTTTTTAGTGTTTTAGTTTTGTAGTCATTCATTCATTCATTCTATTACACTTACCACGTCTCCGTTCTCTGTCGTTTTATCACCGTTTTCTTTAATCCTTACAGTTTTCCCGGGGGACGCGTTAGGGCTAACGGTTTTCTTTGGAACCTCCTCGTCGATTTTATCTATGGTCCGTTCCTGAGGCTGCTCGCTCTCTGCAGCTTCGCGTTCGACTTCGACGAATTTGCCGGAGTCGGTTAGTTCAACCTTTTTAGTGAGGGCAGCGTTAGTGTAACACGACACACACCGGTTGACGTTTGTGAACTTTCATAAAAATATATATCTGATAGAAAATTTATGGACAAAATTTCATTTTAATCATAGAACTCGTAGAAAACATGTTCACAAAACGACAACCAGGAATCTAAAATTAAAACAAGAAAAACTAAACGTAGTCATGCCTTAGACCAGATTTACAAGACACAATCCAACAAATAATGAAATATAAAATGCGTACCGTTTCTTATACAGGGTTATTTGTAAAACACCAACAACACGCAGGATCAAAGAAACAAACACCTTTTTTTATGTCAGCCATATGTAATGAAATCCAAAGTTATTGAACAAAAATTGTTACTTATGTAGTCCTGCTAGTGGCTGAAGTATTACTACTAACCCTGTATATGTCTGAAACGTAGTTGATTATGTATTTATATTATATTATTATTTGAAGTCGTACTTGATTTCAGTAACACATTATTTATTTCAAAAATTCTATCTCTAAATCAACATACAATGCAAAATTACTTTTCGAAAATTTATATTGTTTTTGTTTATTTACTTTTTATAAAGTAATTTAAGATGAAAAATATCAACAGAATATTACTGTCATTTATGTAAGGCAACTTTGTTGATTTTTTTAATAAGTCACTCACCTTGATAGATTTCTTCGGCTCCTGATAATCCCGAAGAGCGGCAAAAGAATGGAGGCGAAAAAAATAATAACCATGTTAACGTCAAAACACAAGGAATCAAAACAACACAGTTAGTGGAAACAATATTTACATCGTTTTTATACGAATATGCGGAGTAAAACAAAATATTATTTTAAAAAACAAAACAAAATATTGAATTAAGGAAATTTAGTTAGAAGAAATTCATTGTTTTTTAATAACAATCAATTTTGATTATTCAAATAAATTCAGATGTTTTGAATGCCACTTTAACTGCAGTGGATAATGAGCTGAGATGTAGTTGAGACTGAATAATGAGTATAAAAGGGGGCACAAAGATGAAGTGAGTGTATAACTGAGATGTGTGTGTAATAAGTGTCGTGGGAGTCGGCGTGATACTGATTGAGGAGTACAACTTATCTACATTGAATGTGTGTGGTACAAAATTGTACTGAGTAAGCGTGGTACTGAGATTTAATTAGTAATAGTAGTTTGGTATACTGAGATATGGTGATTGGTGTGTTGCGATGCAGTGAGTGCAATGTAAGTTGTGTAGGTGAGTGGAGGCAAGTGGGCACTGACCCTCTGCACGGAGTGTATGATGAGCGTGGACTTGTTGGCGGCGCTGGTGGGGCTCAGCTGTAATTCCCTTAGAGCTGATTCAGTCAACTGCGCACTGTCATGGCCTGAATAAATATAATAACTCCATTACATACTATACTTTAATATAAACATATTTAAAAAAAACAGTGTTTTAGAGGAAGAAAATAAAAAATAAAGTTTTTATTCTTAATGAAAAATGCTTAATAAATCCACTTTATCCCTGAGACTCCGAGATGACCTTGCGCAATCCGGTCGAATGCTCTAACCACTGAGCTACCCAGGACCTAACAGGACTGACAAATCTTCCAAGCACTCCTTACTTTTTCGCTACTACAGAGAGTATTTTCATCAATTATAAAGTTATATATATTATTGTTATAATACGTTCTATTTTGGTAATGACATGATTTATGTAAATGTCATTATTCATGATAAAGAGCTGGTAAATTTCGCTTCTTCTTTCGCTTCTTCATGTCAGCTAAAAGACGTCCTGAACTGTAGGGGTATTTTTGACGGTAGGGGAATTTTTTTTTGACGATTTTAAATTGCTTGAAACAAGCTTACTTGAATATATTTTCATTTCATTTCATTCAATTTCAATATTCGTTCAGGCAATCCACACAAAGAACTGAAAGAAATATTTTTTAAAATATTTAAACTTTCGATAAAGATGAATATTTTTGTAATTATTATAATATATATGTTATTTTTTAAGCATTTTTCATTAAGAATATTTTTCAGTATAGCATTGTGATTGCAAAATTGATTATATATAACAAATAAAAGTTAAGTTAAAAAAAAACTAAACCCCAACTCGATAAAATCACTCAAGAATAATAAATTATGGATTACCAAAATATTTAATAATTACAATTTCCTTAATCTACTCTATTCCTGATGAAATTAATATAGTAATATTTTCAAATCAAATCTTTTCTAATTCATCTCACATTTTCAAAAACAGTGCTTTTCATACTACTCAAATATTATAAATTAGTAAACTACAAATTAATAAAATCAAACTCCCCACCGTTTTGCTTGAAGACAGTCTTAGTAGTGGTGAGTGTCTGTCCGTGCGGTGACACTGTCCGCAGACTCTCCTTGATCTTGAGAGGCTTCGAACCCATATCAGGTATGTCGGCGCCTTCTATAAAGAGGAACTGGAAACAAAATATTTTATAAAAAGTTTTGGCCCCAAATTGTACCCTTGTGGTGTTATTCTTGTTATAGCATTTAATGAAAAGTTTAACATACTAAATTATTTACTTTATAGGTACATCTGCATGTAGAACTATTGTAGCGTAATTATTGTTCACAAAGGCCACAAGTTTATTTCTATTATATATTTTGGTAAATGTCTTTCAATAGTGTTTACCTCAACAGTGAGCGTGCCAGATACGTCATGTTGTTCCATTGGTCTCGTTTGTAACGCGATCTGCTGCCTCTGTGATGGTGCCGCCAGTAACTCATCGATACCCACTAAACCTAAACCTAGGAATCTGGAAAGTATACCTTATTTTTCACATATGTGGTAAAGTGGCATACATAATTGTCACAAGAATTAAGTCATTTACATATTATTTTAAGATTGCTAATGTTTTGTTTTGTCTAGCAGTTTGATAGAAAACGATCGTTTTAGAGTGGTTCTTTTGTAAGAGTAATCATCCAACGTATTAAGGCGACGGCTTGGCACGTCAGACTCCAAAAGACCGTATAAGTCTTTATTTGTTTCTTTACTATAGTAATTTATTTTACTATAATTATTCACAGTCCACATAAAGAGAGTGCTGGATTTGCTTTTACTTAAAATAATTTATTTTTAAATGTTTTTGCTTTGTTTTCACAAATACATATTTGCAGCAGACATAGAGACTTAGCAGTTTTTGAAATATATTTTCTACAATTCGAAATTAGTCTTCATTCATTATTTACAGCAAATTGTGCGTCACAAATTTATTTATGAGCTTCTGTGTCATTTATGACTTTTTAGTTCGATCTATTTATTTTCAGACGTAAGTTCGTCGTTTTAACAAAGCATTACTCAGAATTTAGTATGATAATCTAATTAAAGTTCAGTAAGTCCTCACCTATGCTGAGAAGATCCACCCCCTGGTGAAGGCGGTCCTGTTCGGTCATAAACTTCGAACAGAAGTTCAGCAGTTTGAGCTGAGAGATCGCTGCAAGTTAATACAAATGGTTAATTAAATAAAAAGTTGCTAAAAACATTATGTTTGAAAATGTAACGTAAGAATTCAATGTATTAATCTATTAACTACGAGTACTTATGTTGTTTTAAATTTACTTTAATTGGTACCGTGTACTTTATATTTATCGAGTCTGAAATCTTGCGGGTGGATGTTATTACCAGATATATCGATCTACCCTCTTTCGAGTCCTCTTACATTCAAATGTCGGATATCGGGGACTCATGGTAACATGGTAACAATACCGTAAATAAACAAATAATTCATCTAAACCATTAGGAAGCACTTGTCGAAATAGCATTAGAAGAATAGCGAGAGTAAGTATCAGACTTACAATAGGAAGTGTTCCTCCCACTGTGGACAGGTGGTGTCCTTCTTGAAGGCGGTCTGGTTCTTCTGTGGAGGCTCATCCATCTCTACTACGCAGTACGGAGCGATACATCCGCTCTTACCTATATAACAAAAAATAATACAATTCACTAATTCTTTACACTGATAAACTATATCATGACCCTACATCAACTAAAGTTACTCTATGACATCAACTATATAATGAATGACACTAAAGGATGTAAATCTATCTGAAACCTTAAAGTTTGGTTGAATATGAAGTGAATACCTCCTAGATCTTTAGCTGCGACGACTTTAACAAGAAGTCTTTTGTCACCGAGAAGCTGTATACTGCCCGCCGTGGAGTTCGGAGTCGAAGTGTACATCTGCCTGTCATGTTGGAGCTGAAAATATAATGTTACTATTTGAAACTGAGGATCATGACGTTACCATCTGTTATCGGTCGCGACTTGTTCCAACTCATTATTATCAGCCAATAAATGTTCTAATGTTAGGGTACCAGCCATTCAAATTTTCTTTCATTGGTGGAACGCCTGAACATTGATGAAAATACGCTCACTAGTAGGGGAAAGTAATAAAAGCTTGAAAAATTCGTCAATCCTGTTAGGTCCTGGGTAGTTCAGATTGTCTGGGGCTGGTGAATTTTTTAAAGCATTTCTCATTAAGAAGAATAAGTATGAAATGGGTCTGAATAAAATATCAAAATTTTCCCTGCTCGATTTTTAATCTTAATACATCGGTGTAAATGTCATCAAATCCATTGCTGAAATTCGATACAATATGTTTCCTTCCTCCCCTCCCCCACTGCGGTACTGAGAGATACACAACATGTCTGACCATGGAGTCGTAGTGCAGCGGCAGGCGCGGGCCCGCGTCGTGGTGGCGGCGCAGGCGCGGGCAGGTCGGCCACGGAGACAGGTTGAACTCCAGCCGGCTGTTGCGGAGTGCGGACACCACAATGTCGCTGCACGACATACATTCTTACATTACACATTACTACATAATACATTTCAAATTTTTTACAATGAGCAAATGCGCACAAAACTCTCGATGTGGTGTTTTTTCTCAAACGAGACTTATTTATCAGTATTAGAATAGATTTAACGTATTCCTAAAGGTAAAGGTAAACGAAATGAAATCAGCTGGTCCATAATGCGGACACAGAAAAATTATGGTGTGTGCTAATAGAAAATCCATCCATTACAATCACTATTGAATTTCTGAACCTCGATTACGCGATGACGCACGCGTTTTGAATTTTCATTGTGCATCTAAGTATACTAATATTATAAAGAGGAAAACTTTGTTTGTATGTCTGTTTGATTGTAATTAATAGGCTCAAAAACAACTGGACCAATTTTAAAAATTCTTCCACCATTCGAAAGCTACATTATCCACGACTAACATAGGCTATATTGTAATTTGGAAAAAAATAGGTTTTCGTAAAATATTTGGGTTTTTCGGACACAAGGTATAAAAACCCCTAAGAGGGTAAATTAGGGGATGAAATTATTTATGAAATTTTCTCATTTCTGGACTGAAAACTAGACCACGGGGGCGAAGCCGCTGGCGGAAGGCTAGTAAAGAATACAATTATACCAGCCAGCAGTAGTGATCGAATAGGCTTATAAAAATGTCTACCTACATTTTTATCGCAAAATTCAAGGACTATCTATTTGGTCCAGTTAAACGTTTTTTTATTTTTATTATTTCTCAATAGTCAATTACATATTTGGTCAATAAAATGCCTTTATACATATGTAGATAGCACTATCTCGCTTCCTTCCAATCTTACCTGATGGCAGTCTGCAGATTACTCTCTGTGGCGTTAGGTCTGAGTGGTCCGACCGGAGCCAACGCGACCTTGACTTCTGGCCACCCATCACACTTCAGTTCACCGGTCAGCTTCTCAGTAATGCATATAACGTTAAGGCGAGCGCGAAATCTAGAAAACACATTACAGGAGATGACATCCGTCCATCGTTCACAAGTAACCAAGACAAATGTAAACAAAAATAAAGTAAGTAAACAAGGTAAAAAAACAAAGCCATATGCACAAAATATGCCCCCAGAAAGCTCAGCCCGACTGCAAAGGAAGGGTTAATAAAATAGCATTCGCAACTGTGTATCCTATTTAGCATCAGCCCTTTTGTGTCCTGTGTACTGCAGAGGCTCAGGCCTTCCTTATGGATGGTTAAGGAGGATGAGCCGGAGCGCGGCGAGCTAGAGATCATATTTTTTGGTCACCCATCCCGTGACCGACCCTTGCGAAACTTACTTAAAAATAACGATCACGGGCCGTGGCGCTTAAGTTCTACAACCTGTTAAGCTAACTGTTTGTTCTATTCGCGACATATTAATTTTGATTTAGAGCCAAAGAAAACGAATGTCTGTCTGTATCTGTATCAAAATTAAACATTTTTTTTTATGATAACGGAAGCGTGATAATAGTAGATACCTCCTGGGATATATAAAGCTCAAGTAGTAGACCAGTTAGGATATTTATAGAAAAATAAAAGGTTCCTCCTGGGATTAGAGCCTGTAGCCTTACGCTAGCAAAGCTCAAGTAGTAGACCAGTTAGGATATTCATGGAAAAATTAGTTGTTGTAACATCGTATTACCTAAATATTTATTTATTTCGTTCTAGTTGTTAAAGTTCATGAATTTATTTCACAAAATCTATTTTTTTTTTCACAAATATTACCAAACCATGCGGAAATCTAGATCAATGTAGGTATAATTACTTAAAACTGTTCTCACTTGTTCACGTTGACTCTGTAGTGTGATACCTCCACCTTCTCCCCCCTCTGGCTGAACGCCTTCAGCTGGAAGGCAGGTGTGGCATCGCAGTCACAAGTGATAGTCTGAAAACAAAGTTCATGATGCCATAATTATATCTACGTGTAGAATAAAAGATAGGAAAAGAATAGCACAGATTTGTAACTCATTTCTTCGTCGATGAAACCAAGAATCGGCTTTGGCAGTGCTTTGTCTCCCTTCCCTTCTTGCTTCAACTCGGTGTTTAGATAAGCGAAGATACATCCAAACATAGAAACTTTCATATTATCATAGCGGGATGACAAAACATCCACCCACGCTACTGCGATAGCATCTTGTTATTTACATAGAATGTATTAATATTTTTCGTCGACTGTATCATCGGGGATATAGCTCAGTGGCAGAGCAATCGACTGCAGATCGATAGGCCCCCGGTTCAAATCCGGGTGTCCCCTGGGGTTGATTCTCTTTTATGTTTATTTTTTAATTAAAAAATGCCACTACATAACAATGGAAAAGTAAATATTGAGGGAAAGCAAATAACCTACAACTAGGATATAATAGGTATTTCTTTTTCGCTTAAAGCGTGTATTTTTGAAAATTATTGCGTTTTTCAGACCTTTAAATAGTAGTGTTCGTGAAATTTATGAAACAACTTGATACATAAACAAAAATTTATGATATCTCCTATAAATTTGTATTGTTTATTTTTTTATTTCTTTAATATAGTAAAGATAAACTTATAATGCTACAAGTTCCTCGCAACACTCGATAAGCATACTCCATAATATAGAAGAACTAGAGAAGGCAATTTTTTGTTCTATTTAGTTGATTTAGTAAATGGTCAAGATAATCGGAGAAAGGACTTAATTGTCTTTGGATCTCGCTCATATATAAATGGGCCCACACGACAAACATCAGCCTTGCAATATAAAATACAAAGACACGAGGTAACAAACAATGAGTACATACGACATCATCTTTGGAGTCGCACTCGCAGAACACGTTGGTAACGGAGGGTGGGTGGCTCTCCAACGCGCGCACCAACTCCACGCCGATGCCTTGCTGAAACAAACACATCAACACACATTACTTATACATTACACACAGAGTCTGATTAGCATATGAAACATAATCTTGGGCACTGTAGGTCTTTTTACTCATTACTGTTTGTGAAATTATTGTTATTTTACATGACTGTTTGATGCCAAAATAAATGAAAAAAATAAAAAATAAAAATAAGCAAATGCATCACGTCTTGGTGGCATTAGGAATGAAACAGAACACCAGCCAAGTGCTGGAAACGAGCAACAAAAGTCATGTTTGTTGTATGGGAGTCCCTTAAATATTTATAAATCCCACTGTTTACACATAATGCTTATTGCAACTTGATGTAGACAGTTCAAGGCGCGATTGTAATGAGACATAAATTATTATTTACGAGTAGCGAAAAATCTACTTTACTACTAATATAATTTCTATCCTAAGTACATATATGTACGTTAAACAAAGTTAAATAGAAATTTAACTTTGTGTATTTTAAATAGAAATTTAACTTTGTAGGTACGATGATGGTTTTAAAATCCAATTCAATATTTTTTATTAATCATATTTGATCAATTTTGCATTCTTAAAAAAACTTTTAATTAAATTAACTGGTGGGAGGGGAGAGGGTTATTATCATATGTGTAATAATTATTATTTATGTGTTCTATAAATGCATTCTATCGTTGTATGTAACCTGACATTTCTTTCGACCTAGCTGTTTTAACAAGTGTAGCAGATACCTACCTACATTACATTTCAATTAATATTTCGAGAAATAAATTTATCTGATTTTATTATTCATAGTTTTTCTTTTATGTTTTAATTAAAAATATTATATATTAATAATAGGTATCATTTTGATATTTTTGAAAGAAAAAATATAAAAAGAGTACCAATAAGATTCGACAAGCAACAGATCTGAATTTTAAAATACATAGGACATGGATGGCGCTTAAAAACTATCATCCCAGTACACTAAAAAACAAGAACATGTCCTGGGAAAACGGGACGAATTTAAATTAGAGGGATGAATTTAAATTTCCGCGCAATTCGCCTTCTTATTATCCCTATATACTAGTGTTGTGTAACTATACCGTTTAAGGCCCGTGGCAAATTCATCGGATATTCATTTTTTTTACTAATTGCGTAATAATAAATGTCAGAAGTAAGGAGTGTCCTCTGACCGGGTGCCCCTTCCAGTTGGGGGCCCGTGGCATTTTGCCGACTTGCCACTCTGTAGTTACGACACTGGAGACGCCCCGTATTTTACCAGACTTTTGTTCAGCCTGTAAGGGACAAATGCTTACATACTAAATCCGTGCGACCGAGCCGACCTGGGTAGCCCTATCATGCGCTCATATTCAAATCAGAGTGATCGCGTTATGTAATGTGATAAAGGGTCGAATATCCGGTAGCCGATACCTATTTGATTACTGGCCGCCATGTCTGACAGACAAAGGCCGTCTTCTGACTTTACGTTTAGGGTTGCCATCTGTACGGCTAAATATTAGGTTGGGAGAAAGTTTCTCCGCATTTTATATTTATTTATTTATGAAAATTCAAAGCATTTTCAATAAAGTTTATTTTCATTTAACCAAAGTATATAGGTAACATTTTGTTCGTTATCTTTTTGCCATCTTGTAGGTGGGGACATGATCCCATTGCTATAAGTATATTGGGGCTGGGAGTGATGTTAGTCTGGCACTGTCGAAAAATTCTGAAGAGACCGAAACAGGTGGAAATATAATGGTGCAAGGTCAGGACTATACGACTGATGTATTAACACCTCCCAGCCAAACTGTCTTAATTTTTTCCTGAGTAACAAAAGATGTGTGAAGTCTAGCGTCATCATGATGAAAAGTCACACCCCTTCTATTTATTAATTCTGGCCGTTTTCTCTCAATGTCTTGATTTAATCTCATCAGTTGTTCGCAGTAGAGTTTAGTATCGATGGTCCTGCCTGGCGGCAACAGCTGATAATTAATAATGCCCTTCTAATACATACAGCATTATCTTGTTGCGCGTTAATCCGGGTTTCGCCACATTCTGTGAAGCCTGACCGATCTTTGACCACGACCTTTTTCGCACGTTCTTCTCGTACCTGATCCACATTTCATCACCAGGTATCAGCTTCTTCAAAAATGATTCGTTTTCATTATGCCGTAATAAAGAATCACAAATGAGTACACGGTTCATTAGGTTTCTTTCAGTGAGCTCGTGAGGTACCTAAATATCCAACTTATTAGCTTTTTTAAATGCGCCAAAACTGTTTTGTGGTCAATTCCCAGTTCTTCAGCTATCTAGATCCATTTTTCACAAATGCCATCCATTTAATCCGTAACAGGACGACAGGAGCGACGTGCATCTTTGAGATCAAAATTTACGACTGAAAACGCTTAAACCAAATTTGTGCTACTCTCACAGAAACTGCTCTAGGTCCATACATGCCACAATTGTTTTTTCGCTGCTTGCATTGCATTTTTACCTTTTTTGTAATAAAATTTTAAAATGTATCGAATTTCTTCATTAGAATCACTAATTTTGATAGTAAGTTAAACAAATGACCACACATTTTTCTAATTTGAATTCGGAGTTATCTTCTTTAAAATTTTAACTGTTTAATGATATCGAAAGCAGCGAGATACAAACGGTATAGCTATAAAGTTTTTATTTTATTCCCAACCTAATTTTTTATTCCCAACCTAATATTTTATATGAAGGACTTTTTTTGCTTAAATAATATCAAAAATAGCCTGAGTAATAAACCACTACAACTTATTACAGATATACTATGTTTATAAGGTTTCAAAATCAAATCATACGTCCAACTTTATCAAAGTGACTTTTGCCTGTTGAAGAAGATAAAGTCCTGGGGGCCAATTCTACTAAATAAATTTTGTTTAAATCGAATCGAAAACGGATCGATAACGGATCAAAACCGAACGAAACTACAGTTTTTAATGGTTTTTCTATTCTACTAAGTGGCATACGATACAATTCCAGCTAAAATAGAACTGGATTCGCTTTAAACAAAATTTATTTAGTAGAATTGCCCCCCAGCTATTAGAGCAAAATGTCCGGCCTAATACAGCGTTATCAGGCTTCTTGATTTAAGAAGATGGCAACCCTATTTACGTTCCTTCTTTACAAATAGATTACCCCGCGATTTTCTTATATTGTTCCGAGATAACAATACATAATTATGACAATAACGACGGAGCTATTGATATTATAATATAGTATATTGATCACGTGGCCTCATTCGCCATGGCACATTTAAGTCCAAGGTCGCTAGTCGACAGACATCGCGGGAGTGACATCAGCTGTACAGGGTCAGGGTGGGCCCGACACGGCGTCCCTTATAAAATGTGATAATATAGGTATAATAAAAACCGGTGTAATAAACAGTGTGTTTTTTTCCGATATGTACAACAACTCTTTTGCAATAGACTGATTTGAAGGATGTGATCTCCGTAAATGTCCAACGAAAGTGGAAATTTGCGGGACATATACAGATGGACACTTATAGGTTGACAAGATGGTTATTAGAGTGGAAACCCCGTGAAAAAAGGCCACGTGGCCGTCCACCCAAAAGATAGTTGAATTACATTATAAGACACGCAGGTCGAAACTGGACAGAAAAGGTTTAAAGCCGCCAGACATGGAAAACATTGAAAAAGGCCGATGTCCAAAACTGGACACTGATTGGCTGACAATGATGATGATAACAAATATTAATCTAATAGTTAATTAAAAACCGTTTTTCTGCGCATTATCGAGTGCAATGAGAAGGGTCTTCAGTAACCACTGTCAGGTGGTACGTACGTAATAAGCTATGGTAGAGTTCGTCTCACGAAAGAAGTTCCTCGGTGTTTTCGCTCTTATTACAAAGAAATAAGAGTTATGTCAAAGGACTTCTTTCATAAGACAGACTTTAATAAATAAGTACTAAAGGATACTATGCTAAAGGTTACCTCTTAGAAATCGTGTACTCACCTATATGTCTTTTATTTTTCAGTTTGATGAATGTGAAACAAAAAACAAAGAACAAGAATCAGTTTCGTCACTCAAAATTGATAATTTTAAAACATTACAAGATAACAATCTATCTTATACTAATACCGATATTGAAAAATAAGTAATTATTAAAGTGGAGTCTGACGTTTCAGAAGATAATAGTTGTGAATCAATAAATTTAATGGTCAACAGTCGAAGAGAAGACTGTGCATATAGTCGTCCAATAGAAGAATTAGAAAGGTATTGCCAACAAGAATAATCAGCAAGGAATAACAAATTAAAGAAGATTTTGCAGATGAAAAATTCAAATTAAAAATACTTCACTCAAAGAATAGATATTTAAAAAAAAAGTTGAAGAACTGGAAGCATAAATAAAATCCTTTACAGAAAAGAAAAAAAAGAAGAAAAGAGTGAAGTTATAGAAGTCTTCTTGTGAGGCAGCAAAAAATAGTTATTTGAGATACGAGTGCGGAAAGTAAGGTTTTGCGAATAAGGGCCAAATTGGCAAGAATTCGAAAAACCTTTTACGCTCAAGTTTCTTACAACATTTTTCAATGCTTTTTGCGAGGTTTATAAAACTAAGTATGTGTTAAAGGTTAAAATTATTTGTTAAAATTAAACGTGATATTTGAACATGTTTTCGTGTTATACATTTTTATTTGAAAATATTCGTTCTAGGCTCCTTGAAATATTTATGCCTCTAAAGTTTGAAATATTTTCATCAATTTTGTTTTAAATTTCTTTGTTGCTCGGCTAAACAAAATTAAAAAAATACTTTTAAGCACGTGTGCAGTAAAGGATTTCAGTACATTTTTATTTAACACGTATTTAAAGACTCACTTTCGGTGTTTACAATGGATTAAAAAATAGCGCTTTATGAGCAACTGCATAGAAAACATATTTAAGAATTAAATGTCTTTTTTTATTTGGATAATACGTTTTGACTGTTCATTTTATTATTCAGAGGCAAAAGATATATGATAAGAATTATGCTTGTGTAA